TGTCGCTAAGATTTTTCTGGGAATTCAGTTCATTCTGATTGAGCATGGTGGTACTTCTTATCTCAAGCCAGGAGTGCGGTTATGCAGTTCTCCTAGTGCTTTAACTCACTCCTTGGGCTGCTCATTATTTGCACAACAGCAAGGTTGTACACATTCACGAGTTGCAAGCTATGCCTTTCTCGTTCAAACTAGTGGGTGGTAAAAAAGTGCAGTATGTTCTGGCAAGCACAAGAGCCATTCCCTCTTGCCATTTGCTCGCCCTCTCTGATAGAAGTTTAGTAGGTGGGTCTGCAATATTTGAGAGGGCAAACTTTTTGGGCAAATCTTTGAAATGGGCGGTGGAATTGGGTACAGTTTATATTAAGTTTCCAGCCCAAAAACCACATAAAACCCAACCTTGGCAACTTTTTGTCGGCAGAGTTCACACCAACGAAGTTCATCACATATCCCCAGTTTGACTTGACTGGTACACGAAAATGGTGAACGGAAAGTGCGCAAGAAAATGCGCAACCCTAATATAAGACACCCGCCACATTGCAAATCATACAGCTTGAGGATCAGAATGAAGGACAAACTCATCGCCATCCTAGTAGGATTTCCAATTCCGCAAGTAAAAAACTTAGGGCCAGTTAGACAGTGCAAGAGCCAAAACCCCATAGTAGGCAAAGGACTTGGATGAAAACATAAGCAACACACCACGATCCCCAAGACATCATCCGAACACTCCACTTGCTATAAGCTTATTTGGTTGGAGAGCATGTGGAAACTTTCTCAATGATGGAGTATCTAATAGGCATGGTGCAGGACTTGGCATAGTCCCATCTCCTAGACGGCTTAGTAGTGGAACCAAGCAGTTCACCTTGGCTCCTAGCATCAAACAATGAGGGGAGTATGAAGCACTCTTAGCAGGCCTAAAATCAGCAACTCTCATCGTCACACGACTCTATTACACAGAGCTCATCTTGTTTATTACGGAGTGACCTCAACTCAACTGGGTTCCAGTTAAACCAAAGTTGCTAATGCGATCTACGAAGCAAAAGATGGGGAGAAGGATGACAAAGTGTCCGATCTTGATAGAGTTAGTCAGAAGGGAAATTCATGAAATCGAAGTGGTGTGGAATAGAGCACGCGCATTGGTGTTCTCATCTGCGAGTATTCTGGGGGGCTTTCCTTTGCCCCGGGCTGAGGAAGCGCAAAACGATCCAGAGCACGCTTATCACGAATCTAGGGCAAGGAAGTTCTCGGCTTCGATGGCAAAAAACATCTATCCCACATTCCCGAGCAGTACCTATCTGATGTCTCGTATAACTTCCTTCACCTTCCTATTTAGAGTGTTCCAAGCATTGGTAATCGTGAATTTCCCGAAGGTATATCTTATTTGAGTAGTTCTGCGTCGAACTAAGCCTTCATGATAGATCCCATTTAGTATTGCTTAAAACGACGGTGTGCTTTTACCAAATACTATGAAAGTCTCACTACAAGACCAGCAGAAAAGTGTTTACTGTCGGAAGTCTCCAACTAGGACATTTTGGCTCTCCCCATCAATGCCTTGTACAAAATCCTTCACAGGACCTTACTTGAAATGTGTCCATCCCCAGCAAAGTCAAGGCCACTCTTTGTTCGAGGGTATAACACGAGGACCGCTTGCCTTTATAGGCTCGAAAGGCCACAAGGGAGAGGGAAGGAGAGGAAGATCATCCTGGCCTAGTAGGCCCAAGCACGTCAATTTTTTTTCGTTCAGTGTGATAGACTTTTAGGGTGGCCTTACATTGCCTATGTTAGATTCTCCAGGAGCCACCAGTTTAGGTGCAATAAGAAGTGCAAGAAATATCAGAAGTCCCTAACTACAGGCTATACAAATACGGCCTTCGATAACCAAGCCTCAGAGAGCTGTTCTTCCGAGGCATAACTAGCACATGTGTTCCTTCGGTCGAATCGCAATGTGGGGCTTGGCACCATAGGTAGGCTTAAGGGCTCTCGGTTCCAACGGGACCCCTCTTTGGATCCTCTTTTCCTTTTGTTTTGTTTTTGGTGCCATACTTGTTCCCCCTTACATGCAGGGAGGGAGAGACCTGTTGGCCACTTTCTGGTGGTTTAATAGGCACTTTTGTAGCCCTAGCGCCACTTGACGGGCTATAGGATGAAAGTTCTTCCTTGGCAGGCAAACGGGATACTTGCCAGTTGGGAAGTGGTCAGGTTACAAAATGGGTGGAAGCAGAAGCACTCGCCGCTCAATATCAAGGAGAGAAAGATGTGAGAAGTTCGCTGGTCAAGAATATCATTACTCGGTACGGCATACTAAGGCTCTAATATCCTGACAATGGAGCACTTTCGTTCGATAAAAAATTTTTAGAGGCTTTTGTGAAGAGTACAAGATAGAATTCTACAACTCTACACCAGCATACCCCAAAGCAAATGGCCAAGTTGGAAGGCATCAATTAGGACAAAGTCTTCTTAGATGAATTGAAGAAAAGACTGGAGAAGTAAAAGGCAAGTGGATTGAGGAGCTCCCTCAGTTTTATGGGCTTACCTTTTATACCAGACGACCACCATTTTCTCTCGGGTTCCAGTGCTTCAACTGCGCAGAAACATACCTTTTTTCGCTTATAAGGCTCTATGGCATGGAAGCAGTAATCTCACTAAAGAAAGTTGGTTTCCTCCCCATATTAGAAAGTGGAACATTTTTAACTTCGGCCACAAAGATTTAAATGGAGAGCCATTAACCCCTTGCGACAAAGTTTAGAGGAACCCTTAGGTGAGTGGCGAGGACGAGAAGTAAGAGAAAGAGTATTCTATGGTAAATATACATCATATGACCATTGCCTCATTTTACCGGAAAGAATTAGAGCGTTAATCTAGAAAATATAACAACAGACGGATACAAGGTCACTCGCGCAGACAATTCAAGATTCGGGGAGAGACATGGTTAGAATGTTCATAAGGCCGGATCTAAGAATTACACAAAACTAGTAATGAGAAAGTACACTCGGGCTGATACCCCAACGGCTACGCTTGTAAAAAAGAAGATCAGTAGAATAATTGCCGCGGCCTACTATAATGCAGGATGTGATCCGAACCATAGGGCAAATGTGTTCGATTAGCAAGAACAGGGGCATAACACAATTGGACAGACTAGAGACAAACAGGAGCCATATCCCAGGCTATGGAACGGGACTGGCAAAACTGGATTCGTCAAACTATTTTAGTTTAACGTTTTCTTTAAAGTACTTGTTAATTTTTTCTTTTTTCAAATAAAGCAAGGGTAAGTTTCCTATTTCAGTAATAATGATTTTCTTTGAAATAAAAGTATTTTTTAGATGAGCTAGGGGCAAAGGGTGATAAGTTAGTGATAACTTGAGCCAGAGATAAGCCAATACTGCTCCGGCCTACACTTGCATACTCAGGATATTGGAGAGTCGGGATGGTGAAAATGAAAGTGCTTCGTAATTGAGCATAACCACTTTGAGTTCTCTCACTACGGCAAGCTACCGAGAACTCAGGATCTAGGGCATAGAAGAGGCTGGGACGGTGGAAAAAACCAACACTATGGCATTGCAATTGTAATACTTCTCCATGAGCCAAGATAGCTAAAGAGGAATGCTAAAGCTACAGGAAAGTTTGGCCAGAATAACCAAACACTTCTACTCGGCTATTAGGTGCTCGAGTACAGTGAGATATAGGCCATTGGGCTTTGAGCGGATCTTTCGATAGACTAAACGAATGTAAGAGAGGATCTAGGACGTGAAGATGCCAAGCGTTGGGCTTGGATAAACCCTAACCATAGAGGGTTACTCTCCTAAGCGATGATAAGGATCTAGGCTGTAAAGAAAAGTTTGGCAGATAACCAAACACTTCACTTTAGGTTGGCAGAATAACCAACTTTGACTATCTTCAGTCGAGATTCAGGATCTAAGGCTGAAGAGGTTGTTGAAAAAACGGAATTCAGCTATTTATCTTCAGCGCAAGTACAGGTTATCAGGAAGGTGCTAAGACGCGCTGATAAGTTGCGGTCGCCGAAACATAGGACCACACTTCACTCTCTCTTTAGCCAGAAAGATCAGACCGATCTAGACTGAGGACGGTATGGCAGGAATAACCTGGAACCACATTTTGGCTTTCTAGAGGATTTGGCAGGGGCAAAATAACACATTTAATTCACGGCTTAATGGACTCTCTGGTCATACAGTTTACACTAAGAAACATGATCTAGACTGAAAGAAGCCTAGTGTTGGAGTTTAAACCCATAAAAATCATTTGTATGAGTTCTCTTTCAGATCTCTCGCCCGAGATATGATCTTAGGCTGAAGGAGGTTAGCCTGGAATAACCACTTTTTAGTACTCTTCAGCCAAAGATACTTAGACAAGATATAAGGAATGATTGGCCTGGAATACTAAACTGTGAGTTATTGCTTTAGACCGAGATCATGAAAGAATAATTAAGCT